TAATGCGTTGCATCGGATTGCATTTCGTGGCTAGTTATGCTTCCAATTATCTTCCACAATGATGGTCCCCCAAAACTTAACCATCTTTTAAGGGTTTTGTTACGAAATATTAACGTAAAAGTTTTGACGACCGAACTTTTGTCTTGCTATTTGTGAAGCTATTTCGGATTATCTAGTATCTGGATGTCTTGACGTTGTAAGACTTAAATCGTAATGCATTTTCGTAATTATTTACGTCCGTTGATGAATAAAAAGTTTTTATCATGTGCCTTTAGTAACCACGTATTTGTTTTTAGTACTACCTTTGCTTTCGCATTTTTAATTATTAGCCAGATTTTCCGTCAGTTTTTTCGCCTCGACCTGGTTGGGTAGTTTTAGGTGTTCGGTGTCGTGGTGTAAAGCCTTACGCGTTGCCTCGAGAAGCCAAACGAATGCACTTCCAAGCCCGTGTTTTACTAAACATCCAGCCAAGAGACCTACAATGGCTGCGATGACAATATTTGCTGGTGAAGAATCATTGTTTGAAAGTCAAAAATTAAAAATGTATATTTACAAATTATGCGATTTTATTTATGTTCAAAACACTATGAAATGTAAGATTTTGTATTTTTCGCTAATAACATATTGTACTTACAATTAAATTATACCAAATTAAAAATGATTTTTTTATAAACATGAAGTGGATATAAAGTAATATATAAATATTCACTTATTGTATTACATATAAATGATTACTGTATCACATAAAACTATTAATGAATTATACCGGTGTACAACAAATAATGGGTCACGCTTACACGTTCTACGAGAAATCGGTTCATGATATCGGAAAGCAAGTTTCGATCAATAATGCGGAATATTGAAGCAAGTAATACACCTCAGAGATATTATTTGAAATATTTTTAGATTTCGATAAATTTAATAATCTTTGAATATGTAAGTGGAACTACGCATTTTCTCTTTGGAAACGAATTATCATAGAAAGATACAATGATGTATCGACTGTTAATGTTTTAATAATAACTAGAGTATGAAATTATATTCATCAGATGTAAACGTTTCTTTTACTGACTACTGAAATTCTAAAGCATTAATCTCTGTAAAGACCGAAATTAAAAAATGGCAGCACAAGGAAATAATAATAATATAATTAATAATAAAGAGCATTTTGAAATTTAAGAAGAATTGAGCTTGATGTCTAATGGCTGAATAATCAAGACAGCATTTTAAAACATTTCAAGTATAAGGAGAGGAAATTAATGGGTGAAGAGTTTTCTCTACGGTGTCTCCAGATAATTTATGAGATCACAGATAGAAATTATTTACTGTTACCGAACTTCTTATGTAGTACATCAATGTACCAAAGATAAAACGAAACCACTTCAATATGTTCTTGACAGTATATAACACAGTGAGAATTTACAACAATAACATAATACGTACAGACAAATAATAAAAATAAATACATAAATTATTTACACATGTACCCTCTGTGTTGCCATCGACAGCAACACACATCTGCAGTCGTGTGTGCAAGGGCAGACGTTCTGACTGCAGTGTTCTGTGGCGCTACATTGATACTTTGACATTTCAATCAGTGGAAGAAAAGTTCAAACCTGATGAATCATTGGAAAAAAACGTATCTCATTCTGGTCATTAATATTGATTGAATTTGTCTTTCGTGTCAAGACCAAGGTGCCTCTATCCCTCATTGCCACCTCTCTGTCGCCTCTCTCTACGTAACTATCTCGGTGCCGCGAAGGCACCTTTCCCAAATGTGACAGTTGCAGTTGCTAAGAGGGAAATATTCTCAGTGTAATTTCAAAGCACGTCATAAAGTATAATTTTATTCTCAAATTATCAAAACATTAACAAATGTTACATCGTCGTACTCTTCGTTTTACGATCTACCCATTGTTAATTTAAAAGAAATAGTTCAATTTTTTTTTAAAAAATCCAAAATTATTAAATTCCTAGAAAACTAAAACCATTACAAATAAAATCTCTGTACGTATTACTTGCTCAAAGATTCCACATTGTTGAGCGAAAACTGCTTTTCGATACCGTGAACAGTTTAGAAGATACGCGGGTGGCCCGGAATTGACGGGACATCTAGGGTCTAAACGAAAGAAAATACTAGCTTTGCAAAGGAACGATTCGAGGGGGGGGGGGGCTGATCCAGAAATTCCCTGAGGACAGGACACAAGTTGAAAAACAAACGTTTTTTTGGGGGTGGAAATTCATCGGCAGAAATTATAAATTATATTTTTTCACACTAAATACCTATTAATTGTCAATAGTAGACCTCGCTCCCAAACATATCTAAGGTCTGTTTGTTATCTGAGTCTTCAAAAGTGTCATTCATTGTGAAGTCATGTACATCGTTTTAAATAACTTCCACGAACCGTCTTACCAAATTCGAAGAAAGAGCAAGACGCATTTGCTCGTAAATGCATAATAAAACATTTGCAAACAGTCGACGTTCTGAGCGATCGAGTACCCTTCGACTAGAATCGTGGAAAAAACTGAATATTACTTCAAACAAAACAGTTAAAACAGACTTCGTCTTGAAATAAAAATCTTGCTCATATCTACATCGTTGCAATTGTAGATACATCCATGACATCTTCGAAGAAAATGAAACAGTGCGTTTGGTCTAGACTGCCTAGTACGTATAAAGACGAAACGCCGAACTGTCAATTTAAAATGTGGACCTCGCTGGGCTACATCACTCACTGAATAGTTAATATAATATTTATTGTGTACTTTAATTACCTCTACTGGACAGGTAGTAACGCGCTCTCGCAGAAGTAAAAACGAACTGGCCCGGACATGCCATGAACGATTTGGCAGATTGGAGCGCACAGTCGGACAGCCTTCGAACTGAAAACACGAGCCGCTGACGTCAGCGACGTAACACATTCAAAGTGCGAAAATGTCAACGATGTTGTTCATCTGCATTTGAAGAGCCGATTCAAGGCGACACTGATGTGGATACTTACTCGAAAACACCACGTTGGGGGGGGCGACCACGAAAGCGGAAAAGTTGCCAGCTGCTCTGCTTTATTACATCCTCTATTATCTATTCTCCTCCGTTAAGGAGCGAAGACTTTGGCTTCGGACCCAGTCTGAACCTAGTTCAGTACAATGTTTTGACCCTGGAAGGATTTTGCAGATGCAGAAATGACGTTTTGTCCTTTTCGTACTCATAAGATGGGCAATTCAGCCTCTGACGCTATTGTCATGAAAATTCTTGAGGCGGGATTATTCTGGCCTGAGGCACTGACTATTACTGTGGACTTGTCCCTCAATATTTGAATTGCGATTGCATTGCATCGAGAAAGAGGCTTCCGGTGCAAGACTACCACCCAACGGCAGCTGGCAGTGGAGCAGTTCTTGTCACGAGTCTCTGTGAACTGGATGTTGTGGATGATGTTGTGGGGGTACGGTTGACTTGAAACGCGCATCACGGACGGGTAACACTGTCACCTATCACGAACGAGTTAGGACCCCTGGGATGAGAGTGGGGGATACGTGACCTCAAGCCTCCCCCTGAACCCTCCTTTGAATCGGGCCTTGCTGATTTTGCCCCCCTCCTCCTCTCCCTATCCCATTCACAGCGGCCATCCCCTTCCTCTCCGCGCCGCCTTCCCTGCGCCCCACAATGGCGACAATAACGACGACGCACCGGCGGAGGGGTAATTACAGCGGGGCGACGTCTCTCCCACCCTCTCCCCCTCCACTGCACCCCAGGCCGCGCGCGCTGCTCCGGTGAGATCAAAGGTCTGGCGGGGCTGAGTGCTGCCGTGCTCCCCTGCCCCTCCCGCCCGCGCTGCCGCCGTGCAAGTTCGTGTCTTGAGGGAGCGCCGCGCCGCGCCGCGCCGCCGCTGGCCCCGCGGCCTCCGCGAAAACTTCGGCGCTGCTGCCCCTTCCCTTGGCTCTCACCACCCTGCCGCCGCCGCCGCCGCCGCCGCCGCCGCTACAGGGTCGATCGCGGACTTGAAAGGCCACCAGACGAATGGCGACCTTTCGCCGGGCACAAGTTGTTTCAATGTCCCGGGCTACGGACGAGCTCAGAACTTGCTCTTTCGCCCTTTCTGCTTCTAGGCCAGGGTGCAACGCTCTAATAGAAGTAATATCAATGCATTTTTTATATTCATGTTACCTAATAGTGGAGCAAATGTATCTACATAGTACTTGAGAGTTCGTTTGTACGATTACACTCCAATTAGCACTATCTTCCCTGTTGTCACTGTGTAGCGATTGCAACGAACATTATATTTATGAATATTAATAATTTATAATTATTAATAATACAAATGACGATTGAGTGTTAAAGGAATTGCCCCAGCTGGGAATCGAACCCGGATACGCCCAGTTACTCTAACCACATGAGCTACCGATAGACTGTCAACTGTACAAACATCCAGGAGTTAATAGCCCCTGTAGGGTTACATTTTAATTTCAAATTTCTTTCTAAATTGACAACTGTGACTATATGATATGTAAGATAGTAATTAATAATAACAGTAATTAATAACAGTAATTAATAATAACAATAAATAATTAATGATAACAATAAATAGATGTACCCGTGCGAACATTCCGCATTTCGAAAATCATTGTTCAAGTGAAAATAAAAATACCTTCAAAGTGGATCCTAACTTCGTGAGTTGAATGATAAATAAATTGCTCCGTTAGGACAGGCCGATTGATGTTCGAACTTAACCCCCCCCCCATGTTTATCTGGAAATTCAAACTTTTAATTTAATTATTTTTTATTACGAAATATTTCTATAAACGTTTCGTTAAATGGCGCATCTGGCACATGAGGCAGGGATTACTATCTCAAAAATTGCATTTTTAAAATATTAAAAATGTAGAAAGTGAAAACAGTTTCAACCTGGAATCTAAATTCGTGAATTTCTGGCAACCCATCCTATAGTGTGATGAAACCTTCTAAAAATGAAATAGAACGTCCAAAAGGTTTCATTTTATAGGTTACTCTATATAAATAAAATATCTCGTGTTCCATTGGAACCCGAATATGTAGTAGTAGTTCTCTACGACTACTACGACTTCCGAGTTATGGCTAATGGTAAAAGGGGTTACAACGTAGTGTGTTTTGCAGGTTGCATGCGGTGGCAACACTTCGATCGTCTTGTTTCTTGAACATGACTTCTAGCAAATGAACATTTTACATTTCACCTGCCCTCCTCGCATCGTGTTAAGGGTACAAAATACAGTATTCTCTATTCAATGGAATCTAGTAGACCGTAATCATGATTTCGCAATTATACCTCAATCTGCCAGCCTATGTCTCTCGTCTGATACGATGTATATCCCCAAAACATTGTAGAAGTTTAAAAAAAAATCGTAATAAGGGGGAAAATTGTGATATTAACGAAGGACTGAAATGTTCTTAGGTAAAATTCCTATATGTACGAAGTTTTATTTTGTTATGATAAATTTATAGATTTAATATTTTACGGAATTTTGTTGATTCACATACATAATGGTTGTAGTTAACAAAATGTAACAAACTGCTAAAAAGTGGATAATAATATTATTCAACCAAATAAAATAATTAATGGTACGCCACCTGATAATTTTTTGTATCTCTTACCTATCTGATTCTTGTAAAAATATGCATAGAAATATCAGTTAGAGAACTAATAAACCTTCAAATTCAATTTTAACTAAACTTCGTAAAATATCTTTAAAAAATGTAATTAATGTTTACAAGTTATGTACAACAAAGTTTTATAAATGTTCTACATTTTTTTCGTTTAGTTCACTAAATATGTTCATTAATTTTATGAACAATCGTCGTCACTATGTTAATTGCACCCGTTGCAATTAAATTTTCACTGTGCAGTTAAAACTCCACAACTACCAATTAAAATTCAGAAAAGGAATCAAAATCGTAAAATTAAGTCACTATAACAGACGCCACGGTATTTCTAGTCGGCCAAGAAACATAAACAAAAATTTGAATTCTGTAAAAATATACATATTACATACCTCCATAAACTACAATTAAACCATGAATAAATCAAGATAGGTGAAATAAACATTGGTTTGACACTATTTGACTAATGAAACATAGCAAAGGATTTAACATGAACAAATTAGATGTTTTACGTATAAAACATTTGGTCATAGCATGTAACAAATGTAAAAATATAAATGTCAGTTGTATTTATTATATCTCAAATGTACGCCAGCGAACCTGAGTCAGAAGTGACTGATTTTTTAAAATCTTTCCAGTATTTCTATATATTTCTCTCTCCTACATGCCTTTACGTTTTGTGGAAAGGAATATTTTCAGGTCATTGTCAGCTTCTTCTAATATTTAATCTGGAATATATTCAATATCTTCCGTTTCAAAATTTTACCGGTAAAAAATTTCCATTTTATTTATCCTCTATGTCAGTATGGTGATCATAAGTACCCAATGCATGGCCCACTAAAATACGTCTTTTTCAGACCCAATACGACGTTATCAAAATATTACTGATTGGGAGACAATTAGTGCATGGACACTCAAAATGAATTGCACAGATATTCGTCGTTCTGATTAAAAAACAAACTAATATTGACTGAACAATAAATTCCAGATTGAGTGTTTATTTTTACAAAACATTAGACTTATACGAAATGAAGTCAATGACAATAATTTTACATGAAATTATTATCTTTATGCTCATTCAATCATAAGTTAATTGTTAATTAAATTAATAAATTCTGCCAGATATTGCAATAGTTTTGACTGTAATAGTGGCAGCAGAAGCAACAACAGCAACATCAAAAACGACTGTTCTGCATACACGCTTTTCTTCGGGTTTTGGTCGGAAAGACGTTTGTGAGCACGCAGCAAACAGCGTTGGTGATAAAACCACAGGACGTCTTTAAATGCTGACAAAGCTGAAAAGATGCCTGTATGAAAAAGTGAATGAGAATTCGGCTGACATCTCGGTTTGTTGCCACAAACCTGGCAGACAAGAACTTGCGAGACTGAAACTTTCCGCAAGTCGCTTCTCAAAGAATGAAAATGCATCTGAAGAAATATTAATTCACCATCTACTTATGAATGAATCTGAGGATCAATTTGGGCAATAAGAAGTGTACTTATACAAAAAAAGCAAAGATAAGCGATACAATACAAAACACATAAGCAAAGCGAAAGGAAACTCTACGAATTCAACTTCCATAACTGCACTTCGATACGTCTGGAAACAAAAGGAAAATAATTTTGTAGTCATGTTTAGTTTCACATCATCGTCCATTGTAGAGTTCTAAGGATCAACTAAGTAGGAAAGGTTTACTTTACAACCTCTGGAGAACATAAGTTATACACTTTCAATGTTTCGGTTCAAATTTTCGGGAAAATAACCTTCGAAAAATCGTTTAGTTCCATCATTGTATTTGCAAGGCCACATCTTGTATTTGCAAGGCCAAATAATTAACTACATTTTCGAAGTCGAATGTAGCGATCTTTGTGTCGCAGTCTAAGAGGGGAAAATATTTATGAGGAGACTTCTTACTAAACATTCGAAGGGCAAAAAATATAGCTATTATCATAAGTTTTTACTTAATAATGGCATATTAAATAAAAGAATAATAATGGTTTTGAAGCACGCAGTTTTAAAAGTGTTGTAGTCACCTCAACAATATGATCTCTAACATCTATCGTAAAAACACAATTTAAGGTCATATTCAGTTGCAACCGTTCAGATTTTCATTTAAAACAATGCAAATGTTTAAATTTGCAGAAATTCAAATGTATTGTCGAACCCATTCCGCACCTCCACTATTAAAGCCACAGATTTCATTCTCAATGAAATTTATCGGCCAGTTTTAGAACTTTAACAGCAGACGTCTATATTTATTTTTTAAGTAGCTAATGAATTACTTTGGCGGAAATTTACATTTTCCTATAAATTTGAAAAGAAGAATTTCCCAAAATGACTCTTAAGTTTTAAGTTAGTATGTCATGAACACAAACAGTAAATTATATGACAGGAGTCAAGCTATTAAAACGTGAATTTTTTTTTGAAGTTGCACTTTCTAAATATTTTTCTTACCTTTTGTTTGTAGTAATATCTATTTACATTATACATTTTTCATGTAATGAGTGTTTGAATAAAAATATTGAATTAACTTTTATGACGTTTTCCAAAATATCAATTTTTTGCAATACCAGGATACCCAAAACTGTGTGGTTTTGAAAACTATAAAACAAAATGTTCTCGAAAACCGTTTCAATTTTTTTCTAGAATATTACTTGTTACTATAGGTTTTGCTGTCCAGCTGTATTTCAAAACCCTAATTTCGATGAAACTATAAGGAGATCCAAAAAATAATAAAATATCCAAAAATGTAGGTATTTTGTCAGCAAGGTGCATATTTCATAGATGCATTTTACCGCGACCAAAATTAAACCAGCATATTAAATAACATTTTGCGTTTACAACGTTCTAGTAACTAACGAGAGTAAATAAAGAGGGGTAAATTGCACACCTGGTGTGTTCAAGACAACGAGCGATGATAGGAGCGCATTTTCATATTTATCACGAGTTTAATTATACCCCTCTATCCACAGATTACGCTCAACAATTTGTCGTTTCCATTTAAGAAGAAATTAAATTTGGAGGAATATACACATCTTAACACTATTGTTGAAAAAATTCACCCTGAATCTGACAGTCGCTACCTCTTTCTTCTGTCTTCCAAAGCATAGTCATTGCGAAATCGTCGCTCTTGTGCCGGAAGCATTAAATTTGTCTGTTAAAAATGTGCTGACATGCGTAATTATTTATTATACATTTCTCTGTTGTCAATTACCAACGGCGCAAAAGAACTTCGAATTTTGGATGTACCGAATTGCGTATTTAAGTCAGGACTACTTTAAAGAAGTGTAGAATGCACGACTGCCTAATAATTTGTAGATTTTTATCAAGTTTTGGAAAATAATTTATAGACGGTTTATTTTTTTTTTACAATTTGACGATTTGGCAATTATCTTGTGTAGATTTTTGAGTTAATTTTGTCTGTGAATGTCCCCCCCCCCCCAACATGGCTGTGGAGTAGCTCGCAGCACAGTTTGGCCCGTCCGCCCGCTCGCCGTCTGTGTTTGGGTTGCGCTGGGCAACGCGGTGCACGGCGCCTCCGGGCTGTCATCGACAGCGCGGAGCAGCCGCGCGTGAAAACGTGCGGTGCGGTTGGCAGCGCGAGGATCGATGCGCCCACTAGCGGCCCCACCCACCCCCCACCCACACCTCCGCCAGCCCCCTTCTCCACGCGCCTCCGGGAGCGCGTGCTTATTCCACCCCCCCCAAAAACACGCCCACGCCATCCACCGCCCGTTCACTAGCGCCTCAGCCACACCCCGCCTAACAACACTAACACACACGTCACATCCTGCCCATCGCCCGCCCGACTTTTCGCCCCCACCCCATCATAGCTTTCAAACTCTGATCAGCCTACGCCTCTACCGTGCCTTGCCTCGCCACAAGCCTCTGTCTACCTTCTCACTTTCGCCCGTCAGCCTTCGTTCAATCTGATCTATTGTCAGTGTCTCTAAAGGAGTAATGAAGAATATTTTAAAAAAATAACGCATTATTTTAAGTTTGTATCACTGCAGCGGGGGTGAAGATCACCGTCAGCTCCCAAGAAAAAATGCACTACTCTTCTGAGACTAATAACCTTAGCAGTCGACGTGCCGGGAATCACAAATCAATCAATCAAACAATCACTCAAAAAATTTAAATTGTCTGACTTTTGAATATCTTATTTGGCAAATAATTGGAAATGTAGCCACGAGTTTTGTTGTCTTTAGAATTTTGTGTATATGTGTATGTGTATATGTGTATATGTGTATATGTGTATATATATATATATATATATATATATATATATATATATATATATATATAGCCTCCGGGGGTTAAACACCTTTCTGTACAGTCATGTCTTGTTGATGTCGTCCTTCCGCTCCGAAGGAAAGCGTCCTGTCCGTCGTGTTTACAGCGTCCCCGTCTGTCCTGTCCTGTCTGCCGCTGCCTTTTCAAGCGGCGCGTTGCGCAAGCTCGTTTCGTAGAAATGAAGGAACATCCAA